TGCTGCAAATTGTTTGTAAACAGTGAAATTACCTGAGATAATACACCAATAAAGCAGCATTTCTGACAACCTGTATCTGCAGGTTCAAGAAAGGTGATGCATAAATATGTCCAAAAATGTTCAATAATGTTAAAAGGAAAACAAAAAGTTTTTGATATCCACACCATACTTCACAATGATTTCTAGTCTTCCAGGCTATCCATCCTGTAATGAATGACTCTCCAGTGGGGGGTTATTGATATAATGCCAGGCAGTTCCACTTTCCCTGTTAATATGGCTGACTTCACTAGAATTCACGGCTTGCCCAGGACTTTGAGCTTAACTTGATCTGAAATCCTAGACTTCAGCCTATAAACATTAGGATTACATAACTCTCCTCAGTTCTAGACTATTATATTCTTAATCTTCTTGAACTGATATACCAACCATAGGTACTTAATAGTGCCCACTCTAAAGCCAAAGACAAAAATGCCAAATGGTGGAGCTCATGTCTTTCAAGTATTAAAGTTTCCTAAATCTTTTTTTTTTTTTAAAGATTTTATTTATTTATTTGACAGAGAGAGACACAGCGAGAGAAGGAACACAAGCAGGGGGAGTGGGAGAGGGAGAAGCAGACTTCCCGCTGAGCAGGGAGCCTGATGCGGGGCTCGATCCCAGGACCCTGGGATCATGACCTGAGCTGAAGGCAGATGCTTAACGACTGAGCCACCCAGGCGCCCCAATCTTTTTTTTTTTTTTAAAGATTTTATTTATTTGACAGAGAGAGACATAGCAAGAGAGGGAACACAAGCTGGGGGAGTGGGAGAGGGAGAAGCAGGCCTCCTGCGGAGCAGGGAGCCCGATGTGGGGCTCGATCCCAGGACCCTGGGATCATGACCTGAGCTGAAGGCAGACGCTTAACGACTGAGCCACCCAGGGGTCCCTAAAGTTTCCTAAATCTTAATCTGATTCTGTAATAATTGGCAAGTGGCATAATGCTTAAAAGTACTAGCTCTGGGGTAGAATGCTTGGGTTCAAATCCTGGCTCTACTATTTATCAGCTGAGTAATCTTGGAAAAGTTACTAATTCTCTCTGCCTCAGTTTCTCATCAGTAAAGTGGGGATAATAATAGTACCTACCTCACAGGGTCATTATAAAGAATAAGTGAATTAATACCCACAAAGCACATATAATTATGCCTTGTTCATAATAAGAGTCCAATACATATGAACCATTATCATTAATAAAATACCATCACAAAATTATTTTTAAAGGAACAAGGTAAGAGACATATTGCCAAGCAAGTTCAGTAGGGCATGGATTACTAGACCACAATAGTGAAAGCAATAACAAAAATGATAGGTCATTAAGGTGGAATAAATGGAAGAGTAAAACTGTGGAAAACTATGAGAAGGAAGATCAACTTTCTATTCAAGATGATAAAATGAACATCTGTGCTTATCTTCTCTCCCTCTCAAAATATTCCTGAAATGTCAGAAAGACTAGAGACCTGTAACAACACTAAAGTTGGGAAAAGAGCAATTAGTATACCAACAACTCTGAAGAAAATCTATAAAACAAAGAATGGATGGAATTGTACTGACGAATAAATTAAAATGATGGACTGCATAGCAGTAGGCTACAGGGGAAAAGGACACCATTTTTCCGAAAGGAACATAAGAGAGTCACCAAGATTACAGCTGGCAGATACAGAGGAAGGAAGTGACCTTCAGTACAGTAACCATGATGATTAATTCAAGTACTATATTTGGAAGAGATATTTGAGAAGGCAGGCATCCAAAACACAAAAACAGGATGCTATTATGAAAGAAATGGATGGATGGATGGATGGATGGATGGATGGAAGGAAGGAAGGAAGGAAGGAAGGAAGGAAGGAAAGGAAGGAAGGATGGATAACACAGAGTTCCTGAAAAACAAACTATAAACACCAATTTAAAAATTTTATACAGGACTGGAAGAGCAAATGAAGAAGATCTACAAACATAAGGTACACCTGGGAGGCTCAGTCGGTTAAGCATCCAACTCTCAGTTTGGGCTCAGGTCATGATCTCAGGGTCGTGGGTTTGAGCCCCACGTCGGGCTCCAAGCTCAGCAGGGAGTCTGCTTGAGATTCTTTCTCTCCCTCTCTCTCTGCCCCTCTCCCTGCTTGTGTTCACATGCACGCTCTCTCTCTCTAATAAATAAATAAAATATTTTTTAAAAAAGAAGGTTTACAAACATAAGAAAGCAAAGACAGAAAAAGATAAAAATCATAGGACAAAACTGAAAGTGGTATAAAGGATCAGGCATGCAGATGCACCATCATTCTAAAAGGAGATTAAGAGAGAGAGAAGAGAGAACAAGAGAGGGCAGGAAAGAGGAGGGAGGGGAGAATAGTCAAAAGATGAGTTTTCTAAGTGAAAGGGCCTAATGAATAGCAAGGAGATTCAATGATATAAAATATTCCCACAGTCAGATTTTATTTCATAAATTGCAGATTAGCAAGGAAATGGGAACCATAAAATAATTCTGAAAGAATGAACATGGTACTCACAAAATATGAAATCAGACTTCTCATAAAAAAACTGAGTGAGTCCAGATAATGGGGTAATGTAGGAAACACTGAGTGTGGGGGTTCAAAGACTGGCAACATTATATTACCTTGAAAATATCCTCTTAGCCTGAGAGTCCATGATTCAAAGATTTCAAATAATGAATTAGCAGTGAATAACACTGTTACTTGGACAAAGTTTTTATTTATTTAAGATATTTGGTTTGGGGCAGCTTTCTTCCTAGGGTTAGAGAAGTCCCCGTATTCCTCTAGAACTATGTTTCCCCAAGCAGTACCCAATGACACGAATGAGTACCCACCTATCAAAATAGCAAGGTATTCAACTCTGTCAGTTAAAAACCAGACCAGCAATGTAACTCATTAGTAGGGATATAAAATAGAAAACTTACTAGAAAATCACCCAAAAATAAAGCAGATTTTTAAAAGCTTATATTATTTGATCCAGTGATAACACTCTGAAATCCTTCCTATGTAACATCCAGAAATATCTGCTACTATTTACAAACAGATATATTGAATCCTGGCATTGTTTACATTAGGAAAATATAGAACAAAATAACATAATTAAATACCCCCAAGTTAATGAGAATGTGCAAGTATATAAAGATGCATAAATTCAATAACATATTATACAACAAATTAGCAACTGTTATAGTAAAAATATACAGAAAATAAAAATTAAGATCACAAGCTCTATAAAAAACAACAAAAATGAGAATGCCTAATAGCAAAATTTCTGGGATGCATCCAACATGAAATGAAGACACAAATGTATAGACCTGAAAATAATTAAGCATACAAGTCAAGTTTAAAGAAATGAATTTTAAAGAAAAAATCAGCATTAAATGATTTAGAAAACATAGAAATGGATAAATTAATTCAAAAATTTATTCATCACAGGAGACATAAAAGTATAATATGTATAATAAAAATTAGATAAAAATTATAAATGAGAAAGAGACTATGAACATATAAACAATAATACTAGTAGTCACTACTGTCAGATAATGAATTTTAAATGTCTGATCAATGATCTTCCTTAAAATGAAATCATTAAAATTTACTCAAAATAGACACAATTTTCAGTAGAACAAACAGCAAGGCAGAAAACTAAAAAGTTATTAACAGAATAATTTCTCTAAAAATATTCCCTGGAGTCAGATGATTTTATGATCAAGCCTGTAAATTTTCAGTGTACCTGCTGTATTAATTTTCCCCCAGCATAGGTAAAGATGAAATATTAGCTAATTCATTCTATGAAGCTGATATTGTCCCATTAATCTAAAAAACTGAAAAAGGGGCACCTGGGTGGCTCAGTTGGTTAAGCGCCTGCCTTCGGCTCAGGTCATGATCCCAGGGTCCTGGGATCGAGTCCCACATTGGGCTCCCTGCTCGGCGGGAGGCCTGCTTCTCCCCTTCCCACTCCCCCTGCTTGTGTTCCTGCTCTCGCTGTCTCTGTCTCTGTCAAATAAATAAATAAAATCTTTTAAAAAATTAAAAAATAAAAATAAATAAAAAACTGAAAAAGATAACTTAAAGGAAAACTATAGATTTAGCATAACCTAACTCCCTCCTGAATACAGACGCAAAAATGCTACTATAGCTCTTCTAGCTACAGAGATGAAGTCCTCGCCCCTATGGTGCTAGCAAATCACCCCAAGCTCTGAGAAAGGAGGTAGAACTGTGAGAACCACTACAGCAGCAACGTGAACCAAGGGAGGTGCTAAATTCCAATTTAAATTAATAACAGAATTAAGTGACTTGATATAAACCAATGCAGTTTACCTACTTTAGATATGCTGAGTACTAAAAAGTCCACGAAAGAGGGAAGGAAATGTACTGTCTACCTGACCACACTCCAGATCGAGAGCTGATAGTTCCTTTATATGTACCCATGGAGTTTCCAAAGTTTTCAGATTTAAAACGGCTTTTCTTACCCATAGTTTACCCGTTGTCATTTGACAGATGAGGAAAGCGAGGTTCAGAGATTTTAAATACTGACCTCAAATCATGCAATGTTTAGAAGAAATAAAAAATATATACCTATAGCAGGGGAGCCTCTGTGGTTCAGTCAGTTAAGCTCTTGGTTTCGGCTCAGGTCATGATCTCAGGGTCCTCGGGTCACGCCCCATGTGGCGACCCATCTGGGGCTCTGCGCTCAGCCCAGTCTGTTCGAGATCCTCTCCCTCCGCCCTTCCCCCCGCGTGCACACAGGTACATGCACTCCCTCTCTAATAAATAAACAAATCTTTATTTTTTAAAAAAAGTATACCTATACCAAAGAATTTATATTTGCGTCCTTTTGCTTTTCTTAAAGTAGCCTCCTCCTAATTTACCAGCGTAGAATAAATCATTTAACATTGTGTTTCACATAAAACCACCCCAATGAGTAGACTATATTTTATTATATGATACAAAGCAAGTTTTAGAGAAACACATAGCTGTTACCTTCTAATTGTTTCTGGAATAGAAAGAGAATGGGGTCCTTCAGGCCAGCCGAAGAGACTGAACCAGGTCTGAGCAGCATTTACAACCTTCTCGAAGAAGACATACGCCTTTGTTCCTTCTTCAGGAGAAAACCAATGCTCATTTTTCTCCTCCTTTTCCATAGATCTATCATTGTCTTTCTTTGATGTTTTACTTTTGCCTGAGTTCAGCCTTTCATGTATTATTTCAATTCCTAAAATTCACATTTGTTTGTAAAAAAGGTTACATCACCATAGAGTAAAATAATCCTGTCAGCTATTGCTATTCGTATGCAGACAAATAAAGCTCATTTTACAAATTATGCTAGGTTCTCAAAGAAATTCTGAGTCAATTTACTGTATCTTGAAAACAAGAAAATAGATTTATTTTCAAATACGTAACAGAAATACTTTAAAAATGGTAGAATTTCAATAAAGAAAACCATTAAATTTTCTTCTTGCCATAATGGTATGTGTAAACATGCCCCAAAGTGGAATGTTTCATTTTCAATTACACATGTAAAATATTTTGACCATTCTTCAATTCTACTTAATAGACAGAATTAAGCCTTAGATGGAAAACTTACAGAAACAAAATATTGGTTTCATATTCAAAATGACTTTTTATCCAAGTGAAGCACTTTAATAAAACAAAACGTTTCAAGGTAGAGAAATTTTCAAGGATACAAAATGCTTTTATATTTTTTTTCACAAATATCTATGTAAGGGCACAAGCACACAGTCATTTAAAAACCTCACAATACTTTAGTTTGGTCCATTCAATAAACAGGAAAATTTTCAATATTACCCATATCCAGAGAAAGGAATATTTGAATAGTTAATTACAAATGATAATACCAAATTCATATCTTTATCTATTTATCTGTGCTCATCTCTTTCTAAGATAGGTAATACTGGGTCCAGCTAAATAACTGGCAGACAAACCCATAGTTTGGCAGTTCTCAGACTGCAGAGAGAGTAGCTGGGATGTCACGGCAAATTTAGAGGGGCTCTACAGAATATTTAACATTTTAGTTAAATATCACTACTGCATTTGTTGGATATCATATGAATTACTAGTCTTAGGTTTTTCAACCAAAACATTTAATAAAGGGAATTGCTTGGCACATCTTTTGACCTAGGGGAAAAGTAAGATACTAAGTATACTGTGTATACTGATACTAAGTATACTGTGAACAAAAAACATTGGAGAATCTCTGCTCCACATCATTGGAGAGAGCTCCCAAAGCAGATGACCCACTTAAAACTAATTAAAAATTCATGTTTTACTTCATGGATTTCTTCTTCCCTGAAGCCCAAGTTTTCAATTCAATAATATTAAACAGATCATGTTAAGAAGTGGGCTTGCTCGGGACAATATATATTTGCCACATACCAACAAATAATCTTCTCTCTGCAGGCTCAGCATCATTAAATTTAGTAGGAGCAGGAGAGGATAAACCAGCTTCTTGGTAGGGAAGCAAAACATTGTCTCTATTCTTCAAAGAATTGTCATCCTTATCTACAAATGATACATTGGAACACAGTAAGTCAACAAGCATTTGTGAGCTCACTCTCAAATTACTGAATCTGTATTTCATAATTTTCTATATTATATATAATAAATATGTGTATATATATATAGAGAGAGAGAGAGAGAGTAAAAAAAATTTTTTTAAGTATAAATGTCCATACTTAAAATAAGATGTCAAGGAAAAGACTGTAAAAGCTGATATGGTTTTCTGAACTGAATTAATTTTATTCAACAAGGCCATTATTATGGCATATCAAAGTTTTTGGACAATGAACAATGCTCAACTTTAGGATAAACAAAGATATCTAAACCATTTTAAATGTTTCTACACCAAAATTTTTGGATTCTATATGGTGCTCAAAATTGAATATAAGAAGAGCATCACTGCGGCGCCTGGGTGGCTCAGTCGTTAAGCGTCTGCCTTCGGCTCAGGTCATGATCCCAGGGTCCTGGGATCAAGCCCTGCATCGGGCTCCCTGCTCCGCGGGAAGCCTGCTTCTCCCTCTCCCGCTCCCCCTGCTTGTGTTCCCTCTCTCGCTGTGTCTCTCTCTGTCAAATAAATAAATAAAAATCTTTAAAAAAAAAAAAAAAGAAGAAGAAGAGCATCACTAACAAAAGTAATTTCTTCCTAGTTAATTTTCTGAAATGAAATCATTGCTTGGTTATGAGTTGACACCATTTTGCATGGCTTTCAATCTCTATTCCAGTTAGAGTTGTCTGTATATACACTAGAATTTGCCACCATGGTAATCTGAGCCCAACCAAAGGCAATGTTAAGAAAAGGCAGTATGTGTGAATGGGATATTACTCAGTCATCAGAAAGGATGAATACCCACCACTTGCATCAACATGGATGGGACTGGAGGGGATTATGCCAAGTGAAATAAGTCAAGCAGAGAAAGACAATTATCTATGGTTTCACTCATATGTGGAACAAAAGCAATAGCACGGAGGACCTAGGGGAAGGGAGGGAAAACTGAAGAGGGAGAAATCACAGAGGGAGACGAGCCGTAAGAGACTATGGACTCCTGGAAAGAAACTGAGGGTTTCAGAGGAGAGGGGAGTGGGGAGATGGGGTAACTGGGTGATGGGTATTGAGGAGGGCACATGTTGTGATGACCACTGGGTGTTATATGCAACTAATGAATCACTGAACACTACATCAAAAACTAATGATGTACTATACAGTGGCTAACTGAACATAATAAAAAAATAATAATAATAAAAGAAGAAAGAAAGAAAGAAAAGGCAGTATATGTGAACTAAGGCCAGATTATCTATCTATTTGTCTATCTATCATCTATCATCTATTTTCTATCTATTCACACATATGTATATGTATATGCACATACATATATGCATAATGTAATTCTGTCAGAAAAGCATAGCCTTTGCAGTTAGAAATTTCTGATTTGAAATCTTGGCACCACAACTCCTGAGCTATTCAACTACGGGGATGTTATATAAGTTCTCTGAAACAGGTTTTTATCCATGAAATGACACCAAAGGTTCTGAGCTCATGAATCTGTTGTAAGGGTTACTTTACAGGCAATAACACAGATAAGTAAGCTGGCATATACTAAGTTCCTTCCATTTTTTCAATACAAAGCCAATCAGAATTTACCAGAGAATGTGCTTATCTCTGCAATGCTACACCACTACAGACTTCATAAAAATGAGCCTTAGAAAATTCAATGATAGAATGATTCATTGTGGATGCACTAGGCAATATCTTTTCAATTTACCATCAAATAATAAAAAGTTCCTAGTGGGGTGCAAACCCACATCTGTACTCTTCAACTAGAGGCAATGATTCATACATTAGCTTATATTCAGCATATTAGCTCGAACAAGTAAATCATACTGCTTTACTTTTTGAAATACTTAATGTGTTTTAAGATTTCACCTTTACTGAACATATCATACTCTAGAGCACAGTAGCTAAGTGTGTACGCTCTGAGGTATTACAAATTTGGTTAGAATTCCCTGGGGTAAGCTGCTCAAACTCTTTATGACTCAGTTTGTTAATCTATAAAGTGAAATTAATAAGAATATCGCACTCAGTTGTTGGGGGCACTAAATGAAATAACAAATATAAGGCACTTAGCAGAGTACCCTGTGCCTGGGAAGCATTAAATATATATTATAAATTTTACTGTACATATTTCTAAAGATACTTTAGAAAATTTAAAAATCATCTTTCTATGGTAATATTTACTGAAATGGATGCATTATTTTTAATCTGCAGATTTCATACTCAATTATCATATAAGCACTAAGATTCTATTCATATTTTAGCTTTTAAAGAAACAGCAATATTTTATACAGTAATTCCTCATTACTTTTTTGGAGGATATTGTGAAAAATATAAAAGTGTTAAAGTAATAATAATAATAGCAGTTATGATAGCAATAATAATAAAATGATGATAATAGTAATGATAATAATTTCCAGGTATTTCCTCCATGAGTCCTCACAAAAGCCTTTTGAAATAGATATTGTTAGCATCCTATTATTCTCCTACCATGCACATTTTGTTAAATAACAGGTGTTTGAGGATCTGAGAATTAACGGTAAAAGCATATGGCAAAATGGTGAGATTAGAACACAAAATAGAATTTCCACCCAGGTTCTGTGATACTCATCCACTGCTCTTTCTGTTGTGTTGTATTATCTGAAATCTGCCCCCTTCCCAAGTATTTTAGAAGAATACAAAAATATAACATCAAGATCGGTCAGAAAATCTTTTAATTTTTGAGAATGTGTATAAAATTTGTAATATATATGTGCTCAGAAGGAACAGTCAGAGAGTGAGAAGGACCCCAGGGAAGTACAGTATGTGGAAGTCCAGAGGGAGTCTGATGAGAGGTTGGGGATGAGGGGTGAGGTGATCAACAGTGTAAGATGCTGCTCAGTTGCGGGGTAACAGCAGTATAATGGCAGAATGTTCTGCCTCACCCCTGACATGTCCTTCCTGTTAAAGGAAGCTATGGTACTCTAATTATTTAGTTTCCTTTGCTATTTTTCTCCCCATGTCTGGGAAATCAAGTGGCTTATCTGATTGGTAAATTTACCAAGATTAAATCAGGAACACAAGGCCTGGATTCACCTTTTTTCTCTTTGGGAACAAGCCTATCCACTGAGAGGATATAGTCTCCTCTTTCTTCCCTGTTGTCATCCTGCACAGGCCCCCAAAGAAGCTAAGAGGGAGGCATGATTTGAAGAGCAAGAGTAAGTAAGGTTAGCTAATTAAGCAAGGTGTCTGGATGAAGGGATTCAGATGGAGGAATGGCCTAAATCAGGAGAGAGTCTTGCCTCTCCCAGCTTTGTGACAGGAGAGATGATGGGTTCCAATGCACGCTTGGTATTTGGAAGTTCAGAGTATTCCTGCCTGATGGTCTCTATTTCTTCTGAAAAGTTACAGAAAAGGTCATGCCCTGAGACTGAGGCAGAACAGGACTGAATAGATTTCACAGGAGTGGCAAACACTTGAAGAAGCAAGTAGAGAATAGGAGAAAACTGGTTACAAACACGGAAAAGATCTCCAATTCAACCCTGAAACTTAAGGCCTTGACAATCTACACAGATGGAATGTTTTCCCACTCCTTATCCTTTCTCCTCCTCTGAGATTTACTCTATCAATCATTCACCTCTGTGTCTTGCATTTCAAATTTCTCAGCTCAGTAGCTTCTCTTCTGTTGTTCTCAGTCTCACCATTTCCCCTGCAGCAACTCCCAGCCGGCCTACCGACCGCTGTCTTTCCCATTTTAATTCAACTCTCATCCCAACAATTATTCCCTTTATAGATCACTGATACTCAGAAATCACAGAAGGTTCCCACTATTATAGAATAAAGGGTGCAGCCCATCAGACCCCCATGCTTTTGCTACATGGCCCTTTGCCCAGATTATGCTGTTCAAGATCATTTGTCAAACTCTACACAGATGTCATCTCTTCTATAAAGTTATCCCAGACCCCAAAAGTCAGCATTAGCCTCTGCACCACACCCACATTTCCAACACTGCAATTGGCTCTTACTTCAATCTTCTTTGTATTTATTTATTTGTGTCTTACACTAGATTTTCAGCTTTTGCAATTAGAGACACGGCCATATTCTGCTCTCAAGGCTAAATACAGATCCTAGAAATGGCGAGAGTTTAACAAATATCTGTTAATTTTTTTTTTAAGATTTTATTTATTTGACAGAGAGAGCGCGTGCGCAAGCACAAGCAGGGGGAGCTGTAGAGGGAGAGGGAAAAGCAGGAAGCCCAACACAGGGCTCGATCCCAGGACCCTGGATCATGACCTGAGCAGAAGGCAGACATTTAACTGACTGAGCCACCCAGGCGCCCCACATCTGTTAATTTTAAAGTCACATTATTTCCAGGTGTCGACCTTAGATAACAAGAACATACACGGTGAGAATAGGAGACAACAGTCATATCTAACTTACCATCCTTTAAAACAATTGTTTGCTTATCAAGATGAGTTGCCATATATGGGTAAATGGTAAGAAGACAGTTTTCTGCTGTTGCAGTAACTGGAAGCAAAAACCTAAAAGTGAAAACATTGCATTTCAATAAAATAAAATTGTCAGATGCAGTAAATACAATGAAATATTTTTTAAGTACCCAAGATGGCTTAAATGATCAAGACATGAATTATTCATCATTTTTCTTTCCACCTGCTTTGTTTTTCATAACCATCTACTGTAACTACTGTAATGGTTTAAGACTATTTACTTCTAAAGCTTTTAACAGAGATGGTTAATTTCACTGTCAAGTGTGCTCTAGAACACTGCTTGTAATTATACAGGTTCACAAACAGATTCAGGAAGTTTTAGAACTGAAGGAGCCTCAGAGTGAATTTACTCACCTTCTTCTTTTGTAGAATCCCTGACGAACAGTATCTAGCCTCAGCTGACACTACGAGGGAGACACTACCAGAGTGACACTCATGCCTCAGAGACAACCCATTTCGTATTTGGAGAGCTCTAACTTCAGACATTCTGTTTCAGGGCAACAGGGAACAAAATCTATGATCTGAGCCCTGTTACAGTCCTTCAAATACTTAAAAACAGTAATTGTATCTTCTCTAGGTTTTCTCTTCTTCAAACTGAAAACATTTAGAACATTCAAGGTTTCTTTCAACTACAAGGTCTCCAGAAATTTCACACACCATCTGCCTTCTTCAGATGATCTTTTATTTTGTGTTTGTCCTTTAAATGTATCTGAGAACTGAAAACAATGCTATAAAAGTTATTCAACCACTAGAGTATTAATCCCTTCCACAACCTACACACTATTAAACTATTTTATAAAAGCATTGGGAACATTCTTATTAATAAGAGCCACAAAATACTCTAAGATTATATTGGGCCTGTCCAATTTATGTGACAACTCTGTCCTTGCCCAACTTTCTTTAAAGTAGGTTCTTACCCAACAGGGGCTGGAACTCACAACCTTGAGATTAAAAGTCACACACTCTACCGATGGAGCCAATCAGGCGTCCCCAACTGATCTTTTAACACAAGTACTGTATTTTTGTATTTTTTTATTTATTTTTAAAGATTTTATTTATTCATCAGAGACAGAGAGAGAGGCAGAGGGAGAAGCAGGCTCCCCGCTGAGCAGGGAGCTCGATGCGGCACTCGATTCCAGGACCCTGGGATCATGACCTGAGCCGAAGGCAGACGCTTAACCATCTGAGCCACCCAGGCGCCCCCAGAAGTACTATATTTTATATCTATACCACTGTAATATTGGATTATTGGCTTAATTTCTGCATTATGGTAATGATCAAGATAATTAATAATAATCTATCAGTCCTTCTATGTAGTTTACGATCACTGAAAAGGTGAAATGACAAATTCTGTGTTATAATCCAAGTTGATACAAATAAAATATAGAATAGGATAAAACTAAGAAAAACTTTGTAGCTGAAATATAATGAGCTGTCAGGAACATTAAAATAAACATGTTATATGTAAATGAATTGATTTTCACCTCAGTTCTGCATATTTTCTCATAAGGAATGCATTATGTTTTTCTCTTTACCTACTGACGTGCATTAAAATATTATGCAAACTATATATATTCAACATTGTCTTATGTGACCAACCCTGATCATTCTATTCCATCATCCTAAACACATGTTTGGATGACACAGATTGCCCTTGTCAGGATTAAATTGTAGTTCTATATTATAATTGTTTTTTTCTATAGGATGCCCTTCTTAAGGTGAAATTTAAAATTCCTTGATAGCATGAATCATTACTTCTATATACTATGTATTTATGCTACATGTAGTGATCAATCAAAATTCCATTAACTGCCCAAGTAATATTTTTCAGATTAAATAACACAGTTTATCCATAGATACCATTATCATTGTTATCTTAGAACCAAAAACGCTTTCTGCTTTAACAGTGATTACAGAAAGAGAAAAAACAGAAAGGAAAAAAGACTTCTCCAGCAAATGGTGTGGCTGCTCCTGCCCTTATGTCCTTATCTCCTAGGATGTAATTTCTTTGTGCTGGGCTCCCACCCTCTGGGTGGGCATGGTGGGGTAAGTGTAACCTTCAAGAACCAGTGTTGGATTGCTAGAGCTGCTGAAAGCTTCAATTGCCTTGGGAGTTTAGGGTCCCCTGGGTAATGCCATAGCCAATGCCTGTGCAGGGCAGGAGTTTAAAAGAACAGGTTCTTTGCTTCAAATAGGACATAAGCTCTGTGGTGTAACTTCATCTCCAGAGGATCCCATGGGATCAAGCTGAGGTTGGGACTCTGACTCAAATTTCATTTTATTTAGGATGACTGATTCCATGTTCTGCTTCCCCTACCTTGTTTTTTCCTGGCAGTCCTTCCTTAATAAACCACATATCCATGAATCTTCATCTAAAAGTCAGCTTGTGGACAACCCCTACCCAAGACAACAACCAAATGAACCAAATGAATGATACTGCTTAAAAGTATCAGAACTAAAGAAAATACAGAACTAAAGAAAATAAGGTTGAACTAAAATTCATTTGGAGAATGAAATGGGAATATTGTAATTTTTCCTCTTATAAAACTACTTTGTTGCAGATGATAACACTGATTTCAGATACTCCTCAGAGTAAAGAATGACCAACGTATACAAAATTCATTTGACTACATTCTTCTATGGAGCACATGATATAGAAATTATACAACTTGCACAGCACGGGAATATGGGCACTTTATACATTAATATCATTATTATTAAAAATACATTAAAACAGAAAAGGGACTTGCAACCAATAATATTAATACGCTACATTTAACAAAAATATTTCTGGGAAAATAGGGCACCTTATCAGAGAATACTGGTATTATTTATGGATTCTCTATACCAATCCATATAGCCAGGAACCATTAGTGGTAGAGAATTTACTCTAAAAATACTCAAAATTACAGTAACAGTAAAATGACTATAACACTGTACAGTAACAGTGAAGTGACTCTGACATTATGGGTTTCAGTTCCATTTGGAGATTTAAATAGCAATCTTCAAGCACAAGTGATTAGAAGAGTTCCGATGGGCAAAAACCAGGAGGGACATTCCTGGCAACAGAGTTGATATGATGCGGATGGTGATGCTGATAGAAATGGGCTTGAACTATTTGTGGCAGCTATTGTTCTGGGCATCTAAAATGCATTATTTCATTTACATAAATCTCAACAGTCTTTGAGGATATATATTATTAACTCTCTCAGACTTTAGTTACAAGAGCAAGGTCCAGAAAAAGTCAACAATTGTTTAAAGTCACACAATTAGGAAATAGAGAGCCCAAGTTCAAGTTCAATATACCTGAAGCAAAGCTATGCTCTTGGCCACTGCATGAGAATGGTTAGCTTCCAGATCTGTCTTGCTGCACATATGCTCAAAGTTACCAAGTTGGGATAGAGTTATATATATGATGATGGATGTAAGCACTTACAAACATTTTTTATCAATTATCTCATTAAACAGCATGCATTTTAATACTTACAGCTGTTCGAATAATGTTAAATTATAAAAGTTCCTATTAGAAGCTGGTTTAAATAAAAGCCTTTTTTTGGAAGCTATAAATATTCTCCTGGATTCTAAGGGAGAAATATTTTATTTCAGATGTTTTCCTAGTAAACAATAACCAACACTTATAAAATCGACATAAATTCTCCTGTTGGACACATGAAAATTCTTACAGAGGTGGAAAGTTTGCAGTTGTGTATGGAAACAAAAGATACTGCTGTACCCTAGGGGACAATGCAAAGAGAGGCTAAGGAAAACTCTGGCTGCTCTCTATCTCCCACCGCTTTAGATATAACCGTCATGCACAAACTATGAACATTTTAGTATGATAATCAGTAAATACCATAATGTATAGAAAGTCAAATATGGAGTGCACAATTTATTTTTATCCTTTGTCATTTTAAGGTTCACCTGAAATTCCTCATTAATGGTTTTTTTCCCCTCTACCTCAACATTGTACTTCACATTTTTCCAAATTCACAGAAGAACTGAAAGACTAGTAAAATAAACATATATGTACCCTTCACGCGGTTCAGCAATTACTATTTTGCCACATTCATTTCTCTCCTATTAAAAATTTATTTTCTGGGGTGCCTGGGTGACTCAGATGGTTAAGTGTCTGCCTTCAGCTCAGGTCATGATCTCCAGGTCCTGGGATCGAGCACCACACGTCGGGCTCCCGGCTCAGAGGGAAGTCTGCTTCTCCCTCTCCCCCCTGGTTGTGCGCTCCCTCCCTCCCCCTCTCTCTCTCTCTCTCAAATGAATAAATAAAATCTCTTAAAAAATTATTTTCTTAAAATGTGTGTGTATACAAATTTACCCCTAAATATTCAGCCTGTATACCCTAAGAACAAGAACATTATTCTATATCATCATAACCGTATCATAACTACCATCAAATTTAACATCAGTACAAGAATATTATCTAGTTTACAGTCCATATTGAAGAGTCCCAGTAATGTCAAAGTCCAAACTGAGATCACTGACTGAATTTACTTTCCTTTAAACCAGGACAAACTCCCAGTCTTGTGTGGTCCTTCATGGCATTGACATTATTTTTAAGAGTAAAGGCTAGTTGTCAGAAATATTCTGATTATCCCCTTAAGACTGGATAATGTTTTATTTCTGACCAAAAAAACTTCACATGGGCTGTGGCACAGTTCTCATTTCATCCCACCAGGAAGCCCAACAGGTCAGTGTTCCTCCTTATTAGCGACACTGAGTCTGGTCATTTGGTTATGATAGTATCCATCAGATGCCCTCATTTTTTATACCAACATTTAAAATATATAATTTACATGTCATGAAATCCATCTTTTTAAGATGTACAACTCAGTAATTCTTAATATTTTACAAATTTACACACAAAAAGGGTGGATATGTTTAAATATTTAATGCTTACCATTGCTAGTACATTTATGTTAGTTAGGTCAATCAATGGGACTTAATCTGGTACTGTAATGTATATTTATAACAGTCGAGGTCATCCATGATGTTGCCAGAGAGAAGAATCTCTCTATCAC